TTCTGCAGAATTAAGTAGGAAAAAGTTAAGTTTAAAAACTGTTTCCTCAAAATGGAGGAAGCTAACTCACAGAAACACATTTTCAACTGGTAGAAAAAGCCTTCCTACTGGGAATGCATACAGAAATATTAATGAGCTGTAAAGGTACACTGTAATTCAGAGGTTATTAATTTCATCAGTCAAAAAAGCCCACAGCTATCAGCCATATCATACTACCTACCTCAGGTAGCATTCTATCAATAAACCAAAATCAGCTATTTTCAACTGTTTGTATATTTTTCTTCCCATGTTTCTCACTGATATCAGCTCCTTAACAAGGTTTCCTTCCCTTAATTTTACGAGAAAAACTAACAAGAAGATGTCAAACAGAAAGGCAAAAAGACATGATAATTCACTGATGCAGTTCAAAGATACTACATAAAACAGGTTTCACCACTGAAGGCTTATTCCTTTTCCAGTGCAAAACCTGATTCACTTGTTTTTCAAAGAAAAAAAATTTTGTTAGTGTCCCATTCAACATGCTTTCTCTGCAGTATATAAAAATCTTATTCACTGGACAAACTTTTTTTTGCAAAGAGTTTACAAAATTCACATAATCTCAACACTGCTGACACATTCATCTGAACTCCTTATTACCAAAATTATCCTCATGTCCCTCATTACCCAAAAATAATCAAGCTTACATGCTACTGAAAATCAAGTATTTATATGGTAATAATGTCTGTATACATTTGTTCTAATTCATGGAAGTATTTTATTACAAAGAAAAATATAATCAGATGAAGGTATAAAAGTTAAGAAAAATCTTTCAATATTAATTAATGCTTGAAGGTAGAATTATGCTTCTTTCAATTGGACCCATTAAAGGGGCTTTAATATAGATTTGCACAGCAAGCTGAAGATTTTCAAGAGCAGATAATGAGGCAAGCCAGTACTACTTTAACCCCTCTAGAGTATAATCAGTTGATAAGGTTTTGAAACGTTACAAGGTCTAGGACAAAAAGATTAGCTTTAGTTCCTCCAGATCAAAACTGAAAGCTAATTAATTAACAATGTTATAAGAAAAGGTTTACTGCTATTTTTACACATCTTTAATGCCATCTTCTAAAGAAAACAGGTTAAGATATTTTAATTTATCTATTGTGTGCATGGCAGAAGACTGTTCCCTGCCCCAACATTATCTGCTAAACTAATTGCTTGAATTTAAAAATTTCACATATTCCCCAAAAAAACCTCACCTTACTTTTTAAGGAAAAAACCAGCATCAGTGATCTACTTAAGATACATACAATTATTATAAATTAAACATGTTAAAAATGTTTCCAAATAAAAAAGATAATGAAAATATTTCTGCAGCAAAGTATATATCAGTCTTCAGAAGAAGTAAAATTCTAAGAAAGCATCCTAGTCACTTAATTATAGCAGTTAGAAATTCTTTTCATTGAAACAGAGAAGTGATGCATATATGTCAGGGATATATAACTGCTAAGAAGAGAGTTTTGAAACACTGCATAGAACAAAAATAACAATAAAAAAATCAGTATAGCAATCAAGACACTAACCTGAAAGGAATAAGATTTTTACCACACAGCATTTACAATAAATATATCTTTATGCCAGATGAGGCCCAGTTGTGACTATCAGGACCAAAAGTTACCAACACAACAATTAAAAAAAAAAAGAAGAAGGCAAGAAGGGAAAAGTACAATGGAAAACTCAAATACAATACATTCTGTGCTGCATTTATGTGCAATAATAGACAAGAATAATCTTAAGTGCTTTCACAAATTTATTTGAATCTTTGAATGGTACATCTTGAAATATTCCACACTAAATCATATTTTAAATGTTTAACACAATATGAAGCTTTGGAATAAACTCATGAAAATAAAAAGGTCACATTCATGTATATAAAACCATAGATTACAACACCGTAATTTAGGAGCAGTGAAAACATGAAGTTGTACTAAGCAAAGAGAAGTTCAATGCATATACTGTAGTCCAAAGATATGGACAGCAGAAGCTTTGGAAAAAAATTATGATTTAGACTTTTTTCCCCGAAGTCCCATTTTCATGAGTATCTGAGCACTTTTCTTCACATTGTTGGGTTATACAAATGTGATTAAAGACCATATTACTTCTGAATTTATTATTTTACTTGATTTTCAGTAATATCCATTAAAACACAAACCTCTCTAATTTTTGAAATATCTCTTTATGAATTAAGCTTATTTAGCTTTCAGTATGAGCTAACTATATGGATGTATCTCTTCTAGGCTCTGGAGAATATGCTCTCATATTTACAGAAATTTTTATGTCCTTTTAGGCATGTCAGGATAAAGTCTAAGCAGGACTAGAAATACAATCACATGTTCTCCTTATACGGTTTTGTTGTTATTTCTAGAAGCAACAGAAGCTATGTCAAATAATGAGATTGCCCATTGATTTTCCTTTTTTTCCTTACTCACCATTGATTTATACAATCAGCTTTTTGGTGGCCACTCAGAAATTCCTAGACAATAAATCCTACTACAAACTATCTTGTTGCAACTGGTATCTCTGTGTGAAGCATGAAGGCAAAGAGAAAAACAACAGAAGACATGACTGGCTAATCTTAACTTCCTAGATGTAAAAAATTAGTAGACTGAAATACACAGTCTTCAAGTCTTCCTGTTTGTACTTTACAGAAAAGGACATTCATTACCGTGACTGTCAAAATGCACATTTTCACAAACAACCTATTTGCATGTTAATAACATAAATAGTATATTTTCTTTCTTAGATGAATGAAGAAGGAGCACATTCAGTAAAACAAAATAAATAAGAAAACTACATCACTTTTAAGCCAGCTCCATTCTTTGATACCAAATCACTAAAACCTCACACTCAGGAAGCAATCCCTCTCTTGATTCAATCCTACAGCACACCAGTCAACGGATGAGGCAAGAAGGTCAGCACGACATCACCTCTGTACACTGCTTTCATACACAGCACTGGCACCACCTGGTGCCCTTCACAACCTGCCCCCCCAAGGCAATGATACTCTAAGGGAAGCTAATTGTAAGGGCAGCATTAGAGTTGTGATCATCAAAACAACTTCTGTTCTCCTCATCTGCTATAATCACTGAATCACAGAATATCCCGATTTGGAAGCAACCCGCAAGAACCATGAAGTCCCACTCCTGGCCCTGTACATGAAAACCTCCAGAATCACACCATGTGCCTGAGAGCATTGTCCAAGTGCTTGTTGAACTCCAGCAAGCTTAGTGCAATGGCAACTTCCCAGTGGAGCCTGTTCCAGTGCCCAACCACCCTCAGGGTGAAGAAACTTTTCCTAATATCCAACCCAAATTTACCCTGAGATCTCCAAATCAACCCCTCGGGACCTGTCCCTGGTCACCAGAGGGAAGAGATCAGTGCTGCCCCGCCTCTCCCCCTTATAAAGAAGTCTTAAACCACAGTGAGATTTCCCCTCAGTCTCCTCAGGAAGCTGAACAAGCCAAGCAACCTCCGTCACTCCTGTCTTCCCCTCAAGGGGGCTTCCCCTCAAGGCCCTTCGCCACCATCATTACTGTGGTACCCAAAAACTGCCCCCAGCACTCGAGGTGAGGCTGCCCCAGCTCAGAGCAGAGCAGGACAATCCCCTCCCTTGCCCGGCTGGTGATGCTGTGCCTGATGCCCCCCAGGACAGGGCTGGCCCTCCTGGCTGCCAGGACACTGCTGACCCATGTTCAACTTTCAGTGAACAAGGATCACTGTATTTTCTGTGGGGCTACTCTCCAGCCTCTCATGCCCAAGTTTGTATGGATATCCAGAGTTTTACCATCCTGTTGACGAGAACTCTTCTTTCCTGGCTGCCAGATTTCCATGGTTTTAGTTGCATTTACCAGTCTCTCTCCATTTCCACATGGATGATGTATTCATTATACCATCAATTTCAGATTTCTGATCATTTAGAGCTTCAGCTTCTGAAATTGATCTGAAAGCACACAGAGCAACCTCAGGGAGAATGCACATCATCCAGGTTCAGACACTGCTACAGCAGGCAGCCTTCTTAAAAGCACAGTACTGCATACATATTCCTATAAAGCCCTTCACAGGTCTTCTTTGCCTTTCAGGTAAGGATAGGACAAGAAATCATACATTGCTGGTTTCTAAACATAATGTGTGTGTACGCACCAAACACATTACACATCACACCTACAGCCATGAGATACTACAATGAAACTTCAGCCACTGTTGTAATACAAATGAAAGTTTATTCAATAATAAACAGTATTTTAATTTCATTTACTGTTTTATTTTATAGATAATTACATCTTTCATAGATCTACATATTATATGCACTGTAATACATTATATTACATCTAATAAATTAAATATTGGCTATAATTCTATAGTATATAAAGTATATAACAGATTATACATGGGATACAGATAATCCACTATATATACATTATATAGTCTCTATAATAAACAATTATATAACAAAATATAACATACCTGTTATACTTCATATAATATATAACATATGTATGTTTTCTATATATTTGTTTAAACATTAATTAATTAAAAAATAAATAAAAGAAGAAACACCGCCACTTCAGTGGTGTTGCTTGTCAGGCAGAAGGTTAATTATTTTCTACTTATCAAGATGGCAAATCTTACTAAGATGTGCATGGGCACATTACAAACCAGAACACTTTTCTAGACTTAGATCCAAGTTTAGGTTAGACCATAGGGTAAGATGAGGCAATGAACTGACAAGATTTTTCAGAAAAAGTTTAATCTAAATTGATATGAACTTTTCAGGTAGCAGATCAACTGTTTGAGCAACACAGAAGAGTGCAAATAATATTTAATCAGAAATTTGTAATCTCTGAATCACTTACAATTTTTCTGTTAGGACACAATAGCAAACTATTTTCTAATTTTGACAAACATAAATATGTTGTCAATGACAAGTTTTCTTAACCGCTCTATTTAAAGATAATACAAACCTGTTCTAAAGCTTCTATTTTGCTGTCTTTGGCTTGCAAAACCTTTAAAGTGCTTCTGTCCTTGACTTCAGCTTTCTGTTTTTCTCTGGAAACAAACAAAAAAATAGACACTTGATTAGTCATAATTTGCAGTTAATCATTCGAATTTTTCATGTCCTGATAATGAATGTCACTTTAAAGCACAGAAAATTAAATTATCTGAAGCTGACAGGCCCGACAGAATTAATCAGGGAGCATATGGCAAGTGACAGCAAATTACATCTGTAAACACCTAACACAGCTTTGTTCAAAAAGAAACAGAAATAAGAGGTCTTAATATTTTTAAAGCAGCTGAAATTATCTGCCTCTTGTTCTTTCCCAAATGCAGAAAGTATATTTGAACATAGAGTGAGCAAAATGCTTTTGCCCCTTCTTTGCAATGTAGAATCAGCAAGCTACTTCAGTTTGTGAAGTCCTTATCTCAGTTACATGACATTTTTATGTCTGAAACAACACTTTTGAACATAATTATGGATAATTATTAAAAATTATGATGTAATTTTGGATAATTATTTTACTATATTCCAGGGGGACAGAATTTGTAACTTATACCAGCAGAAAAAAAAAGACTCAGAAGCTTGAGTAAGGGGGGTGAGCAGAGCCACACTACATGGTTAATAAGTGCACATCTATTTATCACCTCTGCAACACTTTGCTTTGTTTAACAAAGTATCTCATCTCATTGCTATCTTATTTCTTAACTGAGTTTGAATATTGATACCCTTGCTGGCTTCCATTTTAGGCAGAAAGAAAACAAATGTCACAGTAAGGATATTCATATTCCTTAGCACAAGAATTCTTATCACATGTGTGACTAAATGGCTGAGAAATATATATTCCCTAAGAACGTCCAAAAATTTCAGGCAATCCCAGCACCACAGGTGACAGAAGCATAAACTCATTCAGATTATCTCTGTTCTCACAATACAGTCAAAACTTTTATCAGGGCTGGTATCAGCCACCTATGAAGTTAGAAAATCCTACTTGAGCAACTCTTCCTCTACCACATAAGGAATATTTCAGAGCTGGAAGGGAATGAAACACTAGTACACATGAGTCTGCAAATCTATCTAAAGTGGATGAAAATATGCAGCTGTACACAAAGGGTTTAATCTGCCAACGCATTCTGTAACGGTGGCCAATAAGGATAGTACATACATGAAGGATTATTTTTCTCCACTATTAGGTCTTACTGTGTAGTCTAATGCTACGAGAGATTTTAAAAACTAAACTACACTGACATAATAGAGCCCCCAATAATGTGGTCGTTTTTAATAGAGTTTTATGACTGCTAAAATATCTAATCCAATCTTGAGTAAACAAAGAACTAAAGAAAAATTATATGGAATTTGAAGTGAGGGTTTTGGAAACTCAGGTCTCAAGGCATTGTAACTCTTAATAGGTCTCTCCTACTTCAAAAATACAGCAAGGATATACCATAGGACTTGAAGAAAACTAAGAAAAACCTGTCTGAAAAGGTATTCATTTAAGCGACATTTAGCTCAGGAGAAATAAAAATATATGGGAAGCGGTCTTAGTCAGTTGTATTGCATTAAAAAAAAAATCTACTTCATAAAGAAAATAACTCAGTGTTGTGAAATCAGATGATGAATATTCAACCAGCATTCCAAAAGACATTTCATACCTGAAATGTATTCAACATTTTAAGTGAGAGACAGAAACTTAACAAAAAAATGAACATCAGACACTGACCTTAAAGCACCTCATCACCTGCAAGGAAGCCATTGCATGATACGTTGCTAGGAAGTCATAAGAAGTACAAACAGTTTTTCATAGTTTATTGTTGCAGTTTTGGAGACAGACAAGTGACATGAAATTCCATATTCATGCAGCAACTGCCAGTGTTTACTGAAGGGCAGCTCCTTTTATAGGGGCTTCAAATTTCCCGCTCACACCGAGTCCACCAACAAAGGTTTCAACTCCGCGCAGCTCACTGGCCAATGATGTGGGTGCATCCTGGGTTCAAAGGAATTGGTTGGGGTCCCTTGTTTGAGCCTGAATTCACCTACTCACTTTCATACTTGCGGACTTGTTTACTTCAACGAGTAAACCAGCTGCTCTAGTTGTGTCTGCCAAGGCTGAATTGTTTGTGCAGCTACAGACCACCTATAGCTGTCACAGTTTATCTTTGAAAAGCTACAAGAATGTAACTGAAGTAGACTGTGATTACAGAAATTCATGCAAATATGAAATGATGTAATGCATTCCAAAAGTTAGGCTGTGATGGCCTTTAAAAAAAAAAAAAAAAGGGAGCACCAGGGCCAAAACAACAAAAAAGTTTCAAAGCATGACAGATTATGAAACCAATTTACCCTGCCTGTAATACATATCTAGCTTACAGAAGTCACACTCTCAGCCATGTTTTAAAAAATGGTAAAAGACTTTCTGGTAAGTATATAAATAGGTACAACTTAAATGAAACAAAAACTGTTCCAATATAAAAAATAATAATGCTTCTTCATATTAAATTACTTTACTGTGGGATCCTAAATGGCTATTAACAATTACCCTTTCTCAAAGGCAACAGTCGCAGTAATCAAACCCCAAATATTTGGGGAGAAAGGTTACCACTCTCCCATAAGCATGCCACACCATAATCTACCTGAGGAAGTGACAGACCTATATTGATCTAAACTGTAAGAAATTTAATATTCAAAGTTTCCTCAGGTTTTAATTACATCTAGACAACTTAAGATTAGACACACACTAGCTGATCCAAAATTCTAAGAGCTTTAGAAGGCAAAAAGGAAAGTAAGTCTTTACTCAAAGTACTTGGAAGAGTCAGGTGCAGACACAGAAAGAACATACCACTAACCACACACAAGTGTGGTTCTCTTCAGTACATGAAGTACTGAATAGCATTGTATCCAGCCCTCAGAAGTATCCTGACTCTAAGTCTACCACCCACAATAAGCCATCATCATCCCAACTCTAACTACCATCTCCTCTCTCGAAGTCAGACTTTCATAAAGCGAGACTCAATCAAGACACAAAAACAGTATAATCAGATAGCCTCCTAACTGAACTACACAATCATCACTTGAAAATTATCATTAAACTTGTTCTCTAATGCATTAAATGATCTGAAAATCTGGTAAATTATATAGGTTTCCCTAAGGAACTTTAGAGTTGTGAGTGGTTAATTTTTTAAAATTTATTTTAAGGAGAAAACAGAGGAAGTGAATAAGTGAACCAAGAGCCAGGTAAAAGAACAAACAGCTGTGAAAAGCAGTATGCACAGCTAATTCTGATTTATTATTGGTAGTCAAGAATCTGTTGAGCCCTCTGACTTTACGAGATGGTTTCAAAACATGGGTTCACGGAATAAAGTCTGGGACTGGAGAGCAAAAGAAAGAAACAGATCACTGTTAAAGCAAAAAATATGCCTGTAACAGAGCTACATCCTAGCCAACAGCTCACCGCACATTTCTAGTTAAATGCAGCATTTTCCCCCTATCCAATACTTGGTCAAACAAAGATGTCAAAGAACACAGTTTAAAAACACAGATCTATCATCATCACGAGTGGGAAAAGTTTAAATAAATTTAATATATTTTGCCCTTATGATGTTTTCTTTCAAGCTCTCTAGATACCACATGCTTGCTAAGGTCCGCAAAAATAGTTTAACACGTAACCACTCATAGATAAAGAAAAAAAATGTTTAAATTATTAGAAGTTAAGTACACTATGGAAGTTGTCAGAAGCCTAAAGTATAAACTGCAACCTCAAATGCAACTTTATCAGCAGTTTCTCCTGATGGCATAGGACATTTTCCCATGCTTCTTACAGGATCTCTCTGCACAGACACTCAAGGTAGTATTTCAGACTGGAACTTGTATATCATATTTGGATCTGCTATCACACCATAAAATGGGACTTGATAGGAATTGCATTCATCACCTCTTCTTTTTTAAAAGGGTAACAAATATTCAGAAAAAAAAGTCTTTGAACAACTTCATTCATTGGGCTATTTTGTATTTAAAATGTATTTTTAAAAGTCCATTGGAATATGGGGGGGGTGAAAATTCAAGCACTGTCAAGAAGCTGATGATGATCAATGACTGAGACAAACTCCTGTTTAGCTAATTAGAATCACTGATGAGCAATAATGATGGGAGCTAAGAATATTTGCAGACTTCTTTAGGATGAAAAATGGAGTGAAGAGAGGCTGTCAATTTGTACAAGTTCTAAGCTCCAATCAGTTTTCCCATGAGTACTACCTATTTTAAATTTTTAACAGAGATGCATTTAGCTACAAAGATTATCAAGATTCAGCTTCCCACAAAAATAAAGAAACTGAGAAAATATTCTTAAACTTGACACATTTCTCTGTTACGATTTTCTTCCTGTATTACACTCTACTCAATTATAGAACACGCCAACCTTCTCGATGTTTAGCACCATTTTAATGGCTTGCCAAAAATGAAACATTGGACATTGAGGAAATATTCATCCATGAATGAGATATGAAAACAGCAAAAAACCTTAATATTTAAAAAAACCAGAAGTCTGTTCAAGTTTCTAAACAACATCCTTTCTAAAATCTTCAGCAAAAGCAGCACAAGCAAAGAGGTATCTTGTCCTGTACCACAGATCTTAATCAAACAAGCACTTAACCACTTGTCATGTAAAAGTAACTTGGAGTTTTATATAATTATGTCACATTTACATCAATTAAATGAAAGTGAATTTAATTGATTGAATTTGCTGTTTACATGTTTCAAGGAATACATCCTATCAGTTTTACAAATCACTGAATTAAAAAAACCAAAACAAATCAATAAAAAAAAACCAACCAACAAATCCCACAAACAATAAATCCAATAACAAAAAAAAACAAACCCACAAAAACAAACAAACAAAACCCCCAAAAAACCCCCAAAACATCACAGAATCAAAATCATATCTACAAATTTGGTATTTTAGCAGAAAGTTAAGATTACACTGCAAACTTTGGACAGTGTGGTAAAACGGTAAAGGCTGCATTTTAACAGTATCTCTAACGATAATAAACTGCTTCTAGAA